AACGCTTGCGAATCGCAAGCATAAAAACAATGATAAAACGTTAATCTCATAAATTTGAAGAAACTGAGCAATCAATAATTGACTCTAGGTTTGCAAGCTCTAAAAAACCCTTGAAAACACCCAAAAATGACTGTTAATTTCAATTTTTGTCAAAAATCTTTGACACGAACTTCTTATAATAAGTTGACGTTGCAAAAAAAGGAAAACTGTACTCCTACAGGTGTTGTCTGATGAAAACCGTAGATAACTTTAGACGTTCCATATCAAATGTTTGTATAGATGAGATGTATTTCACTTTTTCTGGAGTGTTTTAAAACGTTGACTTCCGTTACCTATCAAAAACGTAACACAAAACTGTTTTTGTCTCATATCTTCGAAATTCTCGATTTTTTAAAATAAAATTGAGAACCACCTGATCTGTGTCAAACGTCTCTAATTAAATTTTGTCGTGCTGACGCATTGACCAAAAAAGACTGAGAAGATTGAAAATGGGTTCTACATAAGCGTTATATGCCGATTTGTTTTTTATACCTAAGACTTTTCTCAATCTAAGAAATATAACTTAAAACCTGGACATATTAGTATACCATAGAGACGAAGCTGTTCTTGGCAAACACTAGCGAGATCACGAAAAAAGGCAGCTCTATAAACTGCAATAAGAAAAAATCCTCAAAAAAACTCCTACTAATTCACTAACGCTCGCAAGCTTGCAAGTGTAACTATTCTGTAAAGGAAAGATACGAATCAAACTAGATAACGGAGCAACTGTGTCTGTTCAAGGGCTATTTTAAACTTTTCACGTTTATCTTTAGGGCTCTTAGACATTAGCGAGACTTAAAAAATGTTGTCGAAAAGAGCATTTTTTAAGTCATTTAGAGTGAGCTCGTTTTTTGTATCCAGCATGCTGTTATTAAAACTTCAATTATACTTTTTCTTGATTTGAATCCAAACTGCCCATTTGTAAAATCTTGTACTTAGCGAGATATTTATACATTGGGTTATACATGATAAATAACCTCTATACGGAAACTACAAATTCTGCAACAGGTATCGGAAATAGTCGCGTTTTTTAGAACAAGCTGTTGCTTTGATTACAATAAACAAAAATTTCAGATAAAGTTATTTCTGTACTGACTTTTTTCGATTCTTTCCGTAGAACTCGAATTGCGGCCAGCAACTTTTTTTTACTCATATCAAAAATTGGCATTCCGGATTTTTGCTTTCGTACTAGTGGATTGGTCGATTTTTTTTTATTAATACCATTAACTTTGTTTTGATTAGTTTTCTTTGTTGAAATTTAGACTTAAATTGGAAATTAATTAAATTTTGTTTTGCGATTCTAATCTATCGTCTGCATACGAACTAGCCACGATTGATAAACTTCTCTTTATTGGCCTTCTGACAATTTCATTCGACTGCTCACTTTTTTTCTGGCAACATAAATGTGTTTGTTTGTTTTTGAATTCTTCCCGGTACAGATTGTAGGTTCTGATTGAGATTAGAACCATGATTGCCATTTGGGGGAGACATGACACCCATATGAGGTACAGAGCCCAGTCCGCTTGAGTTGAGTTGTTAGGTAGTGTGATGAAAGAGTAGGTTGCCAATCCCCCCAGAGAGACCGTGCAGACTAGTTGGATTAAGGTGGCCACGTTTATCAGCACGTACGGACTTAAAATAATATCAATTTCGTATTAGAATTATTTATACAACTCTACTATGGATTTTTTCTACTTTTGACAACAATTCACATTCCTATTCTTACGTTCACCAAAGATTTAGACCGTATTTCCAAGGCAAAACAAAAAAAAACCCACATAGATTGAGATTTTAAGACTATTTCGAACGGAGAGTCAAATGATAAGGCAAGGCTGGAGATAGTATTTTTCCCTACGCTGTCGCAGTGCATTCGAAGAAAATTTATCAAAAAGATTTGAACACTTACCTATTTATTAAGTTCATCACAACAATCAGGTAGATATATCACTTTCAGCAGTCGCGGCTCTAGAATTTTCTTGAGGGTGTGATTGAAGATTTTTTAAAGCCGTTTTTGAAAGCATTTATTGGCGCGCGGTGCCACCGACCATATGGTAGAAAACAAAGACACAAATATTTCCTTTGCATACCGTTATTTAATTCGTGCCTATCATATTTTTTCGAGGGATAGAATTCATTTCATTTACCCAAAAGTGAAGCTAGCACACAGACCAAATGAAGATATGATTATGATGGGAGTTCCCACTATCATTGCCGCCATCATCAGGTCCCTGGCCACCTTGATAGCCACATAGCTCTGGTTGTAATGCTCCGCCGCATCCACGCCAACATCCGAGCAACTGAGAAGCTCAATTTTCCCATCCCTGTTTACGATTTTTTTCCTTTTCCCTGCTGTTGATTTTTTCAAAGAAATTTTGAACTTACCGATCAGCAAATTTATAAATTGGCACTGAAATACATCGGCGAAAGTTAATCAGAACAACTTAGGACCTCACATGGTTCAGGAAGTTTTATCTTCGAGTTGCTTTAGTTTTACCTTGTATTGAAAAACTTCAAAACTCAAATCACAACTCTTAAAGAAAGCAGAAAACAAACTCCACTTAAACCTCTCAGTGCTCCACGGCTAATTTTTTTAAACAACTTAACCTGCATTTAAAACACAAACAACCTAATAGGTAGAACTTTATAACTAAATCGCGAGATGGTTGGAAGAAAAAGGAAAAGATTCCTGTCTTCGTTCACACAGTATGTCCAGAGGCCCCCATGTTTGAGATCTTTCTTCCAGATGCAGTTGAAGTTGCCGAAGAAGAGGAAAATGCAGACTGCCACTTCCAATGCCAGAGATGCCACCACGTACTTCATGTCAAAAAGCGGATGCTGATTCAATAAGGCACCACTAATGAGCTAATAATTAATCACTATATTTGACCGAAAAGCGTGCGTTAGTATTACAATGCTTTAAACAGTCAGTTAACCATTGGCAAACCAGCCATACGTTCCATAAGTAAAAATTTGTGAGTACAAGTTAAAGCATTAGCCACCCGAACGTGCAAGAATGTTCGGTGACTCTGCAAATAGCTCAGGAATTCAGACCAGTTTCCTTGCAAAATTTTGGTGAGAAAAAAAAAACATTAAAAAGCAGCCTAGTATGGTTTTCCGATTTCCCTCACCATCCCAGGAATTAGAAAATGAAGTTGCGTGCGATCACTTTGTCTTTATGTGGATAATAATTCACTCCAAAACGTTCCAAAAATCACTTAAAATGTTAAAATCAGAAAAAAAAACTGGATGCTTTTGACTTTTTCAACAAAAAGCTGGTCAGGATCTATTGTATTATTCCACACAAACAATTTCTGGGTCATTCGTACCTTTTGAACTTCGCGCGGCAGCTCGAATTTAAACTCCTACCACAATCGTCCCACTTGACTAGAAGCCAGCTAAAGCTGGAAATACCTGTTCGATAATTTTGAATTTTTTGTGCTCATCGAAAGGACATTGGAACTAAAACCTCAGATATGGGAATATAGTTTTCGAGAAAAGCCAAAAAAACTTCAAAAAACGGTCAAAATTGAAATTTTGACTTTTCCGAGGGTCATAGCTTTTTGTGTAAAAAAAATTTGGGCGTAATCGCTTCTTCAGGGGAACTCTCCACAACACGTCCTTTCGATTGAAACTAAAATCTCAGATTTGCGAGGAAAAATTTCGAGAAAAGATAAAAAATTTCAAAAAACGGTCAAAAAAACTTGACTTTTCGGAGGGTTAAAACTTTTTGTGTTAAAAAATTTAGGCGTAATCATTTATGCAGCGGAGCTTCCACAACCTGTTCTACTCATTGAAAACAAAACCTCGGAATTGGGACGGTGGTTTTTGAGAAAAGTCGAAAAGTTTCAAAAAATGAAACTTTTATGCAGCGGAACTTCCACAACCTGTTCTACTCATTGAAAACAAAACCTCGGATTTGGGACGGTAGTTTTTGAGAAAAGTCGAAAAGTTTCAAAAAAATGGTCAAAAATCGAAAAATTAACTTTTTTATGGACCATAACTTTTTATGTGAAAAATTGGGCGTAAACTTTAAACAGGGGAGCTTTCGACAACCTATTCTATCCATGGAAACCAAAATCTCAGATTTGGGAGAGTAGTTTTTGAGAAAAGGTAGAACAATTCAAAAATATAGGTCAAAATTTCCGCTCACACACTTTTTTGATGTCTGTAGAAAGTGAGGTAAGGTATAAAGAGATTAGGGGAGTATGCAGACACACAGGGGAGTGGGCGGACTTTCCTTTGGTACTACTTTTTCGAAAATTGCTAGAGTAGTTTTGAGAAGTAAATTTTTGAAAAAATGAAAAAATTTTCCAAAGCGTCTCAAAAAAATAACCTCATACATTTCCATTATACCTATTTTTATTTAACAAAACTTATACTAGAGGCCAGCTAACGCTGGAAATACGCGTTTGATAAATTTTGCACTGATGCGGAAGGACGGGTAATTCCAAAAACTGTGCTTCACGCAAAATCTTACATGGTTCTCTTATAAAATAACTGGGAGTGAATTTTTTAGTTCGATTTGGCAGGACTTCAAAATCTGTTAATTTCATCAATTACTTCAGTTTTCTTAAATATTGAAGTAATTACAGGAACTTGTTAGGTTGAAAGATGTTAAAAACGTTGCTCATTAGATTTCGGTGGGTAGTTTTCGAGAAAAGTCAAAAAGTTTAGGTAAAAGGTCAAAAAATCGAAAAATGTTTCGAGGGTTAATACTTTTTGTCAAGAAAAATGTGGGCGTAGCCGCTAATGCACGGCAGGTTCCCACAACCTGCTCTATCCATTGAAACCAAAATCTCAGATTTGGGAGGGTAGTTTTCGAGAAAATGAAAAAATCCAAAAATATGGGTCGAAAAATCAGAAGCGTATTTTTTGAGTAATCAATACCTGGTTCTGGCCTAATTCGCTTTCAAAGATGCACATGAGTTAAGCAAAAGGACAGTAGAGGTTTTTACCTCAAAAATATATTTTTTCATGATAGCAATATTGTTAAGAATAGCCACAAATCAGTTCAAGTTCAGTCCCTTTCCCGCACTTTTTCTTGACCTGACAAACTCACGCAAATTTGAATGTCTCTTTCAAGATAACAACGCTATATACATTTAACTCTACTTCTTCCTGTACTTGCACTGAATCCAAACTCTGTACATTTTCAACTGTTTGCCTCTGTTCACTTGCAGCCGCCTGTCAATCAAATTCTGCACCTTTTCCAATCCACATTCCGTGAACAAATCGTGCAACTCTGACTGCGTGAAAAAGTAAACTTGAGTACCGTCTCCTCTGCAGTAAAAACTCTGCTCAATGCAGCGACCTTGTTTGAATCTCAACTGCGCTAAATCATATTTTCCATAATCTCTAAACATTAACAAGCCTCCAGGTTTGAGAAAACGAGTTAAATTTGAAATAACTGATTTGAAACTCGTCGGACGTATAGCAGACAGGACAAAAATCATCAATATAACATCGAGCGAATTTTCTTCAAATGGTAACCTTGCGTCATTATCAACGTTGGTCAAATCCCATGTAAATGTCTTACATCTGCTTGAATCATAAAGAGCATTTTGGTGAGTTAACTCAATAGCTGAAGGTGAAAAATCGCATCCGTAAACAAAGAAATCTCGACTTGATTCAATATATTGCATTAAGGGAAAAACCGTATTTCCAACACCGCAACCTGTTTCGAGTACTCTGAACTTTTCACATTCTTTACCGTCTACGATTCCTTCCAATTCTGGAAATTCTTTTAAAAGCCAATTTCTGTCTTTGAAAAACTTATTCTCGTGGATTCCGTAAAACTTGTCCCAGTTAGAAGAAGCGTCACTTAAAACTTTTTCGGCTTCCTTTTCGTCCATTTTCAAGGTCGAATTTTGTTCAATCGATTTTTCGGCGGCTTCGATCATTTCTTCATCCCATATTACGTCATCCCAGGCGTTATGAGCGAACACATTTTCAGGCTTGGTCAGAAACCGACTTCTGCATGTTAGGTCATCTTCATTTGAAGTAGACAGTGCTGATTTTTCTGGTTCATCAGTCGACATTTCACACCTGAAAACTCGCGTGCGGTTATGAAACTGCCATAAACCATCTTAATGTCCATTGCGCGAAAAACCTTGTTATTTTGGACCAAGACTGGCAAAATTTACTTTTCAAACTTGCTAACGTTCAATTCAAGTTCAACAAAAGTAACTAATCAACAGAATAACAAAAAACGCATCGATAACATCAGCAACTGAGTCAATGTCTGTAGATTTTGATTCTAAGCACTGGTGCTGTTCTGGGATGAGGGTTCGAATGTCTCTGCCAAGTCCTGCAGTACCTTGAGGAGTGCCCTCTGGGTGTCACTGGTGGAACTGCTCAGATTGTCCTTGTACTCCTCCCCCAACTGCATTACTGTTTCCAGTGCCTTCACCAGACTGGCTGTGCTCCGGTTCGACCTGAAAACCAACATTGGGCATGAAGCAAACAACTAATTGTTTTATTTTTAAGTTTTTGTCTTACATATATATTTTTTTATAGTATTTATGTCATTCAAATGTTTCATTTTTTTATATTTGCATTTCCGATGTTTCAATATACACCCTAATGTGATTTCAGATCCAAAAACATCCAATTAAAATATTTCAAAAATAACAGATAAAAAAATTAAAATGAGTGTAAGAAGCGCCGATTCTCATGACAGCCTTCCTGTTTTGTGATTACAATTGATTCTCGTATGTTGGTACAGTGCTGATTTACAGCATCCGGACAAAACCCACAATACCTGGAATTAAAACGCGCTTTTCTCAAATTGCGTTGACTTAACGTGAAAAACAACCAAGGCAAAAATTGTTTAGAATTTCTGTAGAATTCATTTAGTGCAAATTGTTTTACGAAATTTTACCCTAAAAACAGGCCATTTTTGACTTTGTCATAATTGAAAATTACCCTACAATTACCAGGTCAGTTACAGCCAAAACTATAGCATAGTGAGCCTATTACGTTGCTTAAAACCCAACAAAGTTTACGCGAGGTTTATCTCCAAAAAATTGCGCTTAACGTTTAAAAATGGTTTTGAATAAAACAAAAATGGTGTTTTATCTAGTTAAAATGATATTTGTCTATCAAAAAAAAAAATGAGAAAACTTGTTAATTTTTTTTGGAAATACTACCCTTGTTAAACTTCTTTGTGCTTCGTAAGAGGCTCACTTTGGTATAGTTTTGTGAGTATTTGACTCGGTAGTTGTCGCGTAATTATGGATTGACAAAAAAGTCAAAAATAATTCGTTTTTGTGGTAAAATTTGGGACCAAAATTTCACATAACACAATGCACCATATTAAATCTTAGCAAGTTTTGTGTTCATCGTTTTTCATCTAAAGTCAGTGCATTGTCACAGCGATATGCAAAGTCAAATGCAAGATTTTCACCTTTCGACGAATGCTTTGTGCATAACCATCTTGCCATTTATGTCAGCCTGCCTAGCAGATATGAAGTCGATCAAGACTCTTTCGTCGTTAACACTACCAGGTTTTGCTCTAATCATAGATTGCATTTTTGTGTCTTTGGTGATATTTCGACCAGTTTCCTTCTTTGGTGCAATACTTTTTTGATTCATGGATTTAGGAGATTCTCTGACCAATTTCATGCTATCGATGGGTGATTTGGTCCTATTTTCTCTTGAAGTTTCTCGGGAAATCTATAGAAAAAAGCAATTATATGGGATGATAATACTTTTTTTTTAATTTCGAGGAATACAAACGTTAGCAAAATCGAGATTTTTCTGGATTATTAGTATAAATCAAAGCAGCCAAAAATAAAATGAAAACAACTGCAATTTATGCCAACATCTTACTTGTTTGTTCACAAGAAGCGGACTAGCTCGTGTTTTTCCAGTTTTTCTAATTTCTTCACGTTTAGGAACGATAGTTTCCTCTTCCTCCACAAAATACTCATCCATTTTCGCGACATTTCTAGCCTCTAATGATCTACGTCCAAGGTCAATATTCGGCGTCCCGTTCTTTCGATTCAAGCTGGATTCTGCAAATGAGTCCTTAATCGGATATGGTTTTCTAAATGGCGACTCTAAAGTCTCCGGACTCAATGACCTAGCATCTTTGGACTCTTGATTCAGACGTCGGGTTTTGCTCCTGGGAGTCGGGAACCTTCTATCATCATCTTCCTTTTCTTCATGTATGGATCCCAATTTACCCAGCACTGGTGATTGAGGCGACTGTTTACGAGCTACATGCGCTTTTGGTATGGGCGAAAAACGCTCCTTTATCTCTTTTTTAACGCTCGTGGGTTCGGTTTTACCAAACAAGTTACTCAAGTCGGCTTTTTTCTCAACTCCGCGAGTACTGAATTTTTCAGGAAGCTCATAAGTTTCTTCCTCTTCAAAGCTAAAATTATACCAGTTTAAGTTACAATACGACAATGAGCTTCGCATGAGAAATTAACAGGTCTTTTAGAAGACCACCAGGTACCTGTTAGAAAACACGAAGCGTTCATTAAGCCAAATGTCAGAGATCAATTACCCCCATTATGTAACAACTAGATTCTTGACTCTCGGGTATTCTCAAAAATTTAAGGATTTTTCCTTCACAACGACTAAAAAAAAACAAATTTTGAAAGTTATCTGCATGGCAAGAACATTTTAAGCTTATTCCGATAATTGATTTCCCGAAGTTTAGGATCTGAATAATGAAAATTGACTTTGTGTTTGAAGGTCTCTAATAACAATAACTACGAATTGAGATTTACGGACCTGGTTAATTATGCTGCATTTCTATGCTGAAACTTACAGTTCTTAAGATCAAGTTGAAAATGCACGCAAGGAATCATTTGAATCTTTTTTCTTAAAAGAGCAAATCATAAAATGTATCAGACTATATCCCCATTGCTCGAGATCACACTGCATCTTTGCTTGACAATGAAATCATTCTCTCATGCAGAAAACGACTGATCTCGCCAATTCGAGACGGAACTAAGCATCCAATAATCATTGGCGCAAAAGAGCTTTCTCGCGTATGATTTAGAACGCTGTATACATAATGGCCTTGATACGTTCCTAGGCCTTGATACGTTCCTAAGTCCATAGGACCACTCTACATCGACACACAATATACACCTGAAAAAAGCTATATCTATCTTTTCACCTGTCTCAATAAGTGCACACTAAACTTGAAACACCTTACAACCGGCAACTGCATAACGGCATTTCCATGTTTCATTACTCGAAAGGGCACACCTAAGCTACTTAACTTTGACATCGCTCCTCACTTGTCGAGGCCCGAAAGTAACTAAGCTCTGACCCAAACAAGTTCAATGGAACCATCATAAATGAGAAGCATCAATCCCCATAATATCCTATGTTAGAGTGACAACAACTCGTTTAAGGACAAACGAGCTTTCTTACTTAACATCGGTTCTGATCGATTATCCAGAGATCTGTTTGCTAGCAATGACGTCGAGACAATTACGTCCACTGACCAACTTTCGCAGTGACATTATCAACGGCCTTCCTCTGACACGCAACTGAGTTAGGACCGAGGTTTAACTCATAGAGTAATTTCGGATAGGGTACACCGTCTGCTCGTCACGCTATCTTATTTTCGGCCGGATAGATTCGTGCAACTTCTTAGTCTAATACCGATCCTAATCTTACTCTTATACTATCTAGTCTCAGGTTGTTTAACTAGTCTCTGCTAGGCTCAATAGATCTAGGGTATACTGGTTTATTGCGGCTGCTGAAGTGCTCGGGAGAGTCCAACTAATTTCTAAGTTAAATTCAAATCTCTCTGGTGCTGAAATTACAAGTAACTTCAGCACTTACAAATAAGTGGGTTGTTAGTTAGATGGATCATGATTGGTTAATATTAAATACTTTACATTGGTAAAACATTTAATTTATCCAATCATAAAATATAGTTTAGATCAGGTTCCACCCATCCGGGTTTTACAGAGTTTTTTTTGAACAGTTCTTTTGTAGTTCAAGGATGGATGATGGACGTTGGTATTTGGCGAACATCATTTTTCTTTTGTTTCCTTTTTGTTAAGGAAGTTCCAGGAATCTGGAATTGAGGACACAAGACGTTGTGTTCTTCTTGTGACAACGACTGAGTCTCTGCAACAGCATCAATTCTGGTTTCAGAATGGTTGGCTATGTCAGGTTTTTCTGTTCTTTGGATAGAACTTCTTTTGTGTTTGGTCTAGCTCGGGAATGGCGTGGAGGTTGTGCGTGGAGGGGATGCCTGGCTACTCGGATCTGTACGTATACTTGAACATCGAGGTGGTCATTGGTCTAGTTCAATGAAGTCCTTTTCTGCGAAGTCAAGTCGTACTCTAAATCCTTTGAGTTGTGATTGTGAGCGGCATATCGATTGTAGTTGGTCATTCTCTCTCGAGTGTAGTGAGGTCGTCTTGTCTTTTGATGTTCGTCCTTGGTGTTGTATTCTGATCTATATATTGCATCATGTGATTTTACATTTTATAAAACTTTTATTAATTTAATATTTTTTAATTATGATTTTAGTTAGTTGTTTTCACAAAAGCTTTTTGTTTTAGTTTGGTTATTTTGAAGAGTTACTCACCCTTGAGTAGCTCTTATTAAAAATAAAGGTGTGGTCACAAAGCGTGGATGTAGCGCGGTGGGTTAGGCCGGCTATAGAGCATGCTCAGGACGTCCTTTCCTGGTGGGTTAGGCCAGGTGTGGGAGTATGATTTCATGCGGTTTTTGTGAGGGGTCCTGTTATGTGACAACGTTTTATGTTGGGTTTGTTGTGGTCTTACTTATGTCTTGTTGGTTATGTACTTTTTCCAAAAAGCAAATTGTTTGTGTTATGGGTTTGTCTTTCGACTTTTTTGTGTTTTATTATTTCTTTCTAAGACTTTGTAATAGTCTTCAAAAGAATAAATTATCCAGTTTTAAACTGGGTTAATCCGGTTTGGGTACCGTTGGTTTCCTTTTCTTAGTCATGCTGTTATTTTATGATTTGTGGTATTTAGTAAGCTGCGTTGGTTAGTTTTGTTTAGTATATGATTCCTTTCCAACCGGGTTAAAGGAAAGTTTGAAACTTGTTATTATTTGTTAGAGTTGTTGAGTGTGAAAACTTGAAACTGAAATTCATTATTTTAAACAATTCTTCGTGGGCGAGCTGTGCGAGTGTGGATAGAATTTCTGTGCGAATGAATGAAAATATCAAAAGGTTAGTACTGTAATTGCATTTTATTAATTTACTGCATAGAATTTGGAAATTTACTGCTAGTAATGGGGGAATTTTAAGATACAAATTTTCATCATATGTAGATTTACTGCTTTTTAGGGGAAAATTTTATAAATTAATTTACTGCATTGGTATTATATTTATTGAATTGTTGGTGCAAAAGTTAAAAGGTTCTTAAACAGTTTTGAAGAAGTTTGCTATTTTTTATTTTTCTTTTGTGAATTTTTCAGATGATCGAAGATGAAGGCTAAAAATCTAAAGAAAACATGAATAAAGAATGGTGAGTTTTTCTATATTTTAATTAGTTAGTAATATTCATTTAATTCATACTTACCTGTTAGTCGTCGGGGAAAAAACCGTGGGGGAAGATATCGTGAATTAGTTCTGAAGTTGTTAGTAGTTTAGCTAAGATGCGGATGATATTTTTAGTTTGAAGCAGTGGCCAAAGCAATTGAAGTGCCTTAATAGTGGTTAGTTCTTCAGTGCCTACTGCAAACTCATAAGGTGTGTTTTGGATTAAGTTATATAATTTGTGGTTAAATTTAGTGTTGTGGATGAATTCTAAAATTGGGATCTCTATAGGCTGTACAAACTCGTGCGGGATAAGGAAGGGTCGGGATTCTTCGGCGTTGAAGGTCTTGGTGATGGGGCAGAAAATGTACATTTGGGTTATGGGGTCATAATTACGAAGAATACCATGAAGGTTAGTGTCTTTAATACAATATGTGAAATTTAGGAAATACGGTGAAGTGTATTTTGAATTGATGAATTGAAAGCGATGGTGTGGTTGTCTAGAGGGTGTGTGAAGGTCAAAGTGATTTTGGATGAAACGATAGTAACTGTATGTATGTGTTTGTTTAGTTCGCAACATAATATCGTGTGAGCAGTGTAGATCTCTTTCGTGTGGTGCAAGGAAATGAAAGGTTAGTGAAAAGATTTGGAAGCGTTCTTTAAAACTTTCGTACGCTTGTGTGCTTGTTAGTGCTTCTGAAATAATGTGATCAAACTTTCGGTCGAAGATGTTTAGTGTAAATACATATGGTGTCTTGATGAAAAATTTCTCGGTGATTTGTGGGTTAGCGAAGCGATCGTCGTCTAAGAATTGATCTTGGTTAGCTCTGATGATGTTGTGATCGTAGTATTCTAGTGTATATTCATTAGCTCTAGGTGCAGTGTGTATTTTTAGTGATTTTTTATATCCAACGTAAGTAAATTGTCTAGCGGTGAGTGGTGTAGTTAGTCGATATAGCATGTCTTTGTTTCGGTCTATATCGATGGAAGTGTTGGTTAAAGGTAAGCAAAGAGGGTTAGTGAAATGATAGTATGAGGTCCAAGAGAGAGTGGGCATTAAAACGTATTCGTCTACAAAGTTGCGTGTTTCGTTAGCGTCATGAGGGGTGTTTAAGGTGTATTGTGGAAATGAGGGTAAAGTGATGGCTAAAAATTCTCTAGTGTTAGTATGTTGGGGGTGGTTGATGTATTCACGGGCTGTTCCTGGTTTTGCTGGGAAAGGGTGGTTGGGGAACTTTCTTTTAAAAGTGCGGTAAGCTCTATTAGTGTTGAGTGAGGATTCAGTTGATGTGGATGATGGTGCTAATGATTCGGTATAATTTGAAGAGGGTGTAGGGGGATTGGATGAATTGGTAGTGGAGGAGATTTGGTTTATGGTCGGGGTGTTAAGGTGGTAGGGTTGTTGTTGGAGGGTAATAAAATTGTCTAGCTCTGGGGAGATTCGGGGGGTGTCTGGAGATGATTGGTCAGAATGGTATGAGGAGTAGGTTGGGGTAACTTGGGAAGCATAAGAGGGTGTAGGAGTGATGGGGTCAGGGTTATTTGACAATATGGGTTGAAAAGGAGGTTGAGAAAAATGAGAAGGGTTATGGAAATTATTGGATGGAGATGGTTCTGAGTCGGCAAATTCGTCGGGGGTTTCAATATTCGGGTTATTTAGTTGTGAGATGGAGTATAAAACTGAAATTTGTGAGTTAGTGTCGGAATTCATGCCTGATGTTACATTGCTAGATGGAAAATCGGGTGGCGGAAAAGCAAAAAGTGGTATTATTGGGATTGAAGAGGTAAGGTTGGTTGGATGGGAATTTGATCGATGGAGTGATCCAAGTTGGCGGCTCATCGTGGGCTAAAAAAATTATTATTTTGAGATTGAAAAGCGGTGGTAT